CTACCATCAAAGAGTGTTCTGAATTCCACCAACAATGGAATTGAACCAAACTTGGCACACACAACTCCTATGATCAACAGAAAATACTGAAAGGGTTTGATGGGCATTGAGCTTCGGTTTAGAAGTTGTAGTTCACCTACATCTAGAGAGCACTATGGACTCAAACAATGATGGATCTGGACCAAACTTGGCACGCATACTCAATATGCCCAAATGTGAATACTGGTGGAGTTTGGAGAAACTAGAGCTTGACATCTGAAGTTTTACCAACAATAGAATTTGGTAATGTTGCAGCATGTCTTTAAGAGGCAGAGCTATCCAGTGCAGACAGCTTTCAAAAGGGCGGAAAAGGAAAATTATACCTTTTAAAAATTCTCCACCCTGAGTCTCCACCTGCTTTCTATATATAGATGCCCTTCACCTGAGCATTTTATACCTATATTATGGGAAGAGGATGGTTCTAAATTGTGGCAAAATGAAAAAAAAATCATTTTTCTGAAACATCTTTAATGTAGGGAGCTAGAAGTGGTTCAATATTTTTTATAAAACACGTCTGTTAATGGGTCCACCAAATCCTCATTATAAGTACAGACATTGTCATGCGGTTTGCTCAGTGCCCTTCTGAATATCCATAGGTAAGTCTTGAACCCAGAATTTCCTGGAAGAAGAGACATTTTGCCTCCTGGCCATTGTGAATAAAATACTCAGCAGCCCTCTGTTAAATATAGATTGTTTTAATCATTAGTCAGGCATGATAAATGAACTAGACCTTTTTTTCTGGCTCCGTTCCTAGATTTTTAACAGCAACCTGACACATCATCTGAAGTTTAGCAGATGATGTTTTTTCTGGCAGCGATGTAAGTGTTGTGGAAAACATCATTTGTGAAATTTCTGAGCAGAGGTTGCCATTAAGTGCACAACAGCAGGGCTGGTGAGAAGTTGACTGCTCTTGCGGCAACTGCTTCCACCTGTTAAAAGCAAGCCATTTCTTTAAGTGTCATCTCAACTCGCAACCTGTGTGGCCAGACCTGTCCAGCAGCTCTGTTGCTGAGTTCAGTATTTTCCCCCAGCTTTTGATAAAAGAAAGCCCAATGGGAAAGGAGACATGTGGGGAAGAAAGAGCTGCAATGTGTTGAACTGGAGCAAGAAAGAGTGGACCTTTTTGTGTGTGTAATGGAAACTTGGCAGAAAGCTCCACTAACTTTTTGCTGAAAGGGACCGAGCCATGAGCTGTGCTACATACAATGGGCACCCTGCTGTTCTCTCCATGCTTGCAACCCTGCCAGATGTTACTGGCGCATGAACATGCACTCCTAGCTTAATCAGAGCAACATGCAAGTTTCCAGGATGAACAGGCTCTGGCTGGAGGGGGAAAAATCCCTTGGAAAAGTGCCATGTGTTTGTGTTGAAGCTGCCAACCCAGAGTTTTCCTCACCAGCATCACTTTTAAAGCAACACAGCAAATGAGGATAATGTGTAAGTCACAAGGCAACAATAGTTCACCATTGTGCATATCTAGTGCCTTGCTCCTCTCCATGCAGAACTTCATAATGCTCTTCCAGCAACTTGGAGGCTTATATAAATTAGGACCTCATTACATTGATCTTTGGCTCCATCCTAGGACACTTGCAAGACAAAGCTATGACGGAGCCCATTACCTGATGTAGGGCTACTTCTGGTGAGGCTCCGACCTGACTCTCCCGGAAGTGTTGTAGGATGAAGCCAATAGAACACAGGAGGGATAGGGCCTTCTCCGTGGTGGCCCCCTGCCTGTGGAATTCACTACCTGGAAAATTAGATTATCGACATCCCTCCTTTCCTTTAGAAAGAAGTTAAAAACGTGGATGTGGGACCAGGCCTTCAGGTAATCTTGCTGACAATGACAGTGACAGTGATGACAATCACCATAGAAATGGACTATGGACATGCTTGATGGAGTTTCTAACTACAAAATTCAGGCCACCAGGCTGTTATTGAAACAGAAACAGATTTTAATTAATTAATGCGATTTAATGTTTTAAATGTATGTAATTATTGGATTTTATTATGTATTTTATTATGTGTACAACATTGGAGGTATCAAAATGTTGCTGGCCGGAAGCCGGCCTGAGCACCCCCCCCCCTCTTCCAGGGGGGTTGAGAAGGGTGGGGTACAAATATCTGAAATAAATAAATAAATTCTTCATTTGATTGATTCACTGAAGTCTTCAAGTAAAGCTACCTAGCACTCAGAACAGGTGATTTGGGCCTTTAGTGAAGCATAAGATTTTGTAATAAGTCAATGGAGGAGTCTAGTCTAGTTGAAACCAACCAAAGGATGCTATCCATTGTATCCACCCAGTCTACTTGAAGCCAAAATCACCAATACCCTTAAGTATATTCAGTGCCATACAGCATTCCTACAGCTTCCTAAGGGAGCTGTCTTCCTTCTTCATGACAGAGGAAGGAGCTGGCAGCACTATGTCATGAACGGACTATAAAACTAGGAACTGGTTAGAGAAGCAACCATCAGACATTCTACCTATATTTAAACTGATTAAAATTAATTGATGAGTTTCAAAAAAAAAGCCACCCTTAGATACTCATGCCTAGTGAGCACCTAGTATGCATGCAGATTATCAGATGCCTGGGTGTGATGGTGTTAAGAGTTAGGTCTCGCATATACAGACACAGACTGAAAATAATTATAGAGAAGAACAAAAGAATAAACCTGCTATGACCGGGTTAGGTGGTTCTATTTTGTCCTGCATTGTGCTTTCAACAGCCAGATGCCTCCAGAAGCCTTTTGATGCTTTTTTCTTTAGTATGTTGTTGTAGCTATTTATTTTTCTTATATTTTATTTGAAAATTTGAGCTGAGTTGGCACTGAGGAAGGAAAACCCATGTGCTTCTGTTGTATGCATAAGAAAGGATCATGTAGACCAGTAACCGCTCGTGTGTTGTACATATATGGTCCCAGGTTCAACCCTTCACATTTCTGTTTTAAGTGATTCGAGATAGCTTGTAGAGAAGGAGTTTTGGAAGATGTTAGGAAATGTTTTAAAAAATTTCTCAGACTGCCTAGAAGAAACACAGACTCACTATACTGTGCTAGTTTTTCAGAATCTATGACATCTCCTTACCCTTCAGTTTCCTTCTCCTCTGTTTGTCCTATCTATATATGGTACTGTATTGCAGAACATATTTCTAAACATACTATTAAAAAGGAGTTGACGGTTTCAAGAAACTCCAGGGCCAACAGCATTGCATACATCAATCTGACAAACCTATCAGCATTATTCCTGGCCTGCAGTGCAAATCATTTGGAGGGAGTAGAGATGATTGTTCAGAAGGACATCCTAGGTTCACTCTCTAAGAGCTCTTCCAGACGGGCCCTATATCCTAGGATCTGATCCCAGGGTTTCTGCTTTAAACTGGATTATATGAGTCCCCACTACCAGATAATCTGGAATAAACAGAAAACTTGGGATCAGTTCCTGGGTTATATGGCCTGCCTGGAAGGGTCCTAATAGTCAATATCTCACTCTTTCCTTGCCTTCAGACTGTGGTTCATAGGATTCCCTGGTTGGATTTTACATACCAGATCTTGTAGTAGTTTGTTGAGAACCAGAAATTCTGACCTCAAATGCATTTGGTGCTGTCTGTTGTTATTGTTATGACTCTGTTTTGCCTCTCCCCGGCATTATTTACAGCAAATTTTCATGGGAATCCACAACACTGGTGGGAACCCCCTACATTTTGAATAGTGGAGGCATAAGAACAAGGATATTTAAGATCTTTGTAGATAGCCCATAAGAAGGAAGTTTTGACGTAGCATTATGAGCATATAGTGTAGTGTTTCTCAATCTGGGGGTCGGGACCCGGGGGGGGGGGTCACGAGGGAGTTTCAGAGGGCTCTCCAAAGACCATCAGAAAACATATATTGGCAGAGAAGGTGGAAGATCTCTCCTTCTCTTCCTTTTTGGAAACTAGGTTGGCAGCTTCAACCATCAAAACCCCTCCTCCAATGTGATTGGCCAGCCTCTCAGCCAAGGGGAGGGCTGTTTCTGAGACTCCAATCGGGGAGGGAAGAGCAAGCATGCCCGGCGCATGGCAGTGTGGTGCGCATGTGTGGGTGAGGGAGAGCATGCGAGGCTGGAGGTAGGCTTGAACCAGTGAGTCCCTTCAAGACATGGTGTTTCTGAGTGGGAAGTTTGACCCAATTCTGTCGTCGGTGGGGTTCAGAATGCTCTTTGATTGTAGGTGAACTATAAATCCCAACAACCACAACTCCCAAATGTCTATTTTCCCCGAACTTCACCAGTGTTCACATTTGGACATATTGAGTATTTGTGCCAAGTTTGGTCCAGATCCATCATTGTTTGAGTCCACAGTGCTCTGTGGGTGTAGGTGAACTACAACTTCAAAACTCAAGGTCAATGCCCACCAATCCTTCCAGTATTTTCTGTTGGTTATGGGAGTTCTGTGTGCCAAGTTTGGTTCAATTTCATTATTGGTGTTCAGAATTCTCCTTGATTGTAGGTTAACGATAAATCTCAGCAACTAGAACTCCCAAATGACAAAATCAATCCCCCCACAACCCCACCAGTATTCAAATTTGGGATTATCGGGTATTTGTGCCAAATTTGGCCCAGTGAATGAAAATATATCCTGCATATCAGATATTTACATTATATTTCATAACAGTAGCAAAATTACAGTTATGAAGTAGCAACGAAAATAATGTTAAAGTTGGGGGTCACCACAACATGAGGAAGTGTATTAAGGGGTTGTGGCATTAGGAAGGTTGAGAAACCCTGATATACTGACTTTCTGACCATTTTTCCCTTACTAGGTCCCCTTTTCACCTGACTCAATTTTTAAACCATGTGGCTGCACTTACTATAATAGTATTTAATACATTGGTAGAATCAATTGCCTACTTCTACCTCTGAATGTGATGTGGTACTTTACTGTTTCCTTTCACCCTATAATATTTGTTTGTTTCTTTTTCTCTCTAGTTTATGATATTCTGAACTCTGCTTTGGAAACCAGTGACAAGTGGGTTGGACGAAGGCTACAGCAGGAAGCGGAGGAGAACGTCACAGATAACCCTGAAGAGACAGGGCATCTTTATTTCAAAAACTGCACTGAACCAGGTAGGTTTGCCTTTCATCTCATCATGTAGTCAGAGAGGTGTTTGCCAAGCTGCAGAGGCAGAATCATGACTCTTCTGCATTTTGCCTTATTATTTTTTTACTATTAAATATGTGTACTTGAAATGTGAATGTTGGTCGTTCTTTGAACTCAAGATGATGGGGCTGGTAGAGCTGCATATTTTCCAGTTGTGTGTAATGGAGTTCAATATATCAAAGATGTTTTACCAGTTTTTATTGGAAATATGTCATTACACAGGTGGCTTTTATTATATGAAAATTAGATGAATGCTCCAGAATTAAGAGGAAGCATAAATATATTTTGCGAGAAGTGATGGGCTAGGAAACAAAATATTTTTTTCTTGAACTAGTGCTATTTTTTAATATTTTAATTAGAATTAAAGCCCCTAATTCTGTGGCGCAGTGGCTAAAATAACTCTTGTGCATAAAACATGATGGTAGACTTCTCCCCCTGCCCCCATGTGCACAGTCATGAATCATATTTGCTGAGCCTGAAGTTAAATTGTGACAATGAAACCAAAGGTCAGGACTTAAATCAATGTTTTCCTTTTTCCCAGAGAGAAAAATAGAAGTCCCGCACAGTCAGGGAAGCAGCAAAGGTTTTTCTGTAGTTGTCATCTTAGAATTATAAAGGTCAAAGGCTCAAGGGGAGGCTTTAGTGCCATTCATACTTGGGCATTCTGCATCTAATTTCTTCTTTAATCCTTAATAACACTGCTATCAGTCCTTAGTTTCTGCGTCCCAAAGTTGAACTGTGTGGGTTTTTAACATTTTTAATCAGCTTTTCAGAAGAGTATTTTTTCTGAAAAACCCGTTACTCAAAGGACCCTTCCACACAGCACATCAAGTTAGAAAATCCCACATTATCTGAGTATGGACTCAGGGCCCTTCCACACAGCCCTATATTCCAGAATATCAAGACAGGAAATCCCACATCTGAATGTGGACCCAGTTCAAAACAGATATTGTGGGATTTTCTTCCTTGATATTCTGGGTTATATTTCTATATGAAAAGATCCTGGATATTGTTAGTTTGGAGCTCCTATCAGCCTAAGCAGTTATTCTTCTATCTGCATTGCATCTAAACATGTCTAGAACAATTGTTCTCAAGATGGTTTTGACTTCAGTTCATAGATCCCTTATTTATTGGCCATTATGGTGGAGACTACTAGTAGCTGAAGTACAAAACTGTTGGAAGATCAAAGTTTGAAGGTTCATGATGAAGAGGCTACCATTGCCTGACCCTCGTTTAATACTCTGTCTTCTCTTAGCAAGACAAGGCAGTTCTCTAGTGGAAGCCCTCAGTGAAATGAAGAAGGCTTCTGAAGAAGGCAAGGCCGAACAGGGTATAAGGTTACAGCCTGTGCTGGATGGGGTCGCACTCCCCTTGAAGGCGCAGGTTCGCAGCTTGGGTGTGATCCTGGATTCAGCGTTGAGCCTGGATCCCCAGGTTTCAGCGGTGACCAGGGGAGCATTTGCACAGCTCAGGCTCGTGCGCCAGCTGCGCCCGTACCTCGGGAAGTCTGACTTGGCCACGGTAGTACACGCTCTGGTCACATCCCGCCTTGACTACTGCAACGCTCTCTACGTGGGGCTGCCCTTGAAGACGGCCGGAAGCTTCAGCTAATCATGGCGGCAGCCATGTTACTAACAGGAGCGGGACGCAGGGAGCACACAACGCCCTTGTTGTTCCAGCTCCACTGGCTGCCGATCTGCTACCGGGCCCAATTCAAGGTGCTGGTGTTGGCCTACAAAGCCCTAAACGGTTCCGGCCCAAAATACCTGTCTGACCGCATCTCGGCCTATGAGCCCACGAGGACTTTGAGATCGTCTGGGGAGGCCCTTCTCTCGATCCCGCCTGCCTCACAGGCACGCCTGGCGGGGACGAGGGATAGGGCCTTCTCGGTGGTGGCCCCCCGGCTGTGGAACACCCTCCCTGTAGACATCAGACAGGCGCCCTCCCTTATGACATTCCGCAAGAGACTAAAGACGTGGTTGTTTGAGAAGGCGTTTGACTAAGTGCTACAACAATTGGCAATGATGATTGGAACGGAATATGGATAACGAGATTGGTTTGTGATTCTATGATGAGATGTCGCGAATGATTTAGTGTAATTGTATTATTAATAGTGATGTTGTTATTGTTGTTTGTGATATTGCCTTTATTGTAATTTGACTACTGAAAATTTTGCGTCATTCGCTAGATTCCTATGTTCTGTATGATTCCTGTGTCCTTGGTAGGTCCAGCATTTGTGTTTTCCCATTTCCCTGGGAATTGCCAAATCATTGAATTCCAGGGTTTTGATTTGCCGCCCTGTGGTGTTCTATGTCTTCTCAGGCTTGTTTAACAGTTGTGTTCTTTCACTGTGTTTGTGGTGAAATACACAATTGCAATCTGAGCCTGTCTGGGATGTATTGACAAAATGTTACAGAGGCTTTGGAGGTGTGTGTGTGTTTGCTTGTGTAAAAGATTCTACAGTTTTAGACTATCTGCTCCATTCCAGTCTTAATGAGAGTATCCCAAAAGGATGGCTGTCAGGTATCTGCTTGAAGACCTCCAGTAAGGGAGAACCAGCTATGGAGCCCATCCCTGTCATTGGTTCCACTGTGAAAATGCGTTTACATTCAGCAAGTGATTTGGAATGTTCAGCCTGCTGTGATTTAAGTTCTCAGGTCCTGTCCTGTGGAGGATCAGTCCCCTTTCAGCTTTTCTTCTTTTCTGACTTTAAGATATCCTGGTCCTTCAGTCATTCCTAATAATAATAATAATAATAATAATAATAATAATAATAATAATAATAGAAAAACTAATAGAACTTGTTTTCCACATCTTTAGGCATCTTTGTTGCTCACTTCCCAAACTGTCTATGGATCCTTCTACGCTGCAATATAATCCAGATTATCAAAGCAGTTAATCCACACTATCTGCTTTGAACTGGATTATCTGAGTCTACATTGCCATATAATCGAGTTCAAAGCAGATAATCTAGATTTTTATGGCAGTGTAGAAGAGGCCTATGTCTTCCTTAAGTGTCACCTCCACAAAGGGTCATAATACTCCAGATATGATTTTACCAACTCTGGAACTCTCTCCCCAGTGAGATTAGATCAGCGCCCTCCCTCCTGACCTGTAGAAAGAGAACAAAGACATGGTTATGGAACCAATGTTTTGACTAGTAAAGTGACACAGTGCAAGAAGTAAATATGGAATATGTGTAATTGATACCTGGAATGTCCCGGTCTACATGTTTGGATCATGTGATTTTAATGTTTTTACTAGGTGTCTTTAATTTTTATACTTCATGTTAAAATGTCCTGTTATCTTATGGTGAATTTGTCCTGTTTTGTTTGATTTATGATTTGGTTTATGTATGTAAGGTGTTGAATTTTGCCATTATTTCTTGTAAACCGCTTTGAGTTCCCCCAGGGGAAAAGCGGTATATAAATACTGTAAATAAATAAATAGGAATAACATAGAAAAAATATTTTTGTTACTGGAAAACTATGACTGAAATGCAGTGCTCTTTGAGTGAACATTTCTTCTTTTCAGGAGAGGCCCTGCTCTCGATCCCACCACTATCGCAAATGCGATTGGTCTGGACGAGAGGCAGGGCCTTCTCGGCAGTGGCCCCCCATCTGTGGAACTCTCTCCCCAGGGACATCAGGTTGGCCACCTCCCTCCTGTCCTTTAGAAGACAATTGAAGACATGGCATTTGATTAGTGGACAGAGGCAATTGGAAAGACTTGGGATATTTGTGACAAAATACATTGAATATGCCAAGTCTTGGATTTGGTTTTAACTGGCTTGTTTAATTTACTGTTTAATGAATTGTATAACGTGTTTTAATGATTTTTAATGTTTCAATGTATTTTGGACTGTTTTACATGTTGATAGCATCGTACGGTGCTTGTGTGAGGCCGCCCTGTGTCCCCCTTTGGGGGGAGAAGGGTGGGGTAGAAATGCATGAAATAAATAAATACATACATACATACATTTTGCCTCTCCTAAGTGTCCCCACAAGTTTCCTCCAGAGCAGGCTTTGCATGGAGGGAGAACTTGTCTTCTCCTGCAATTCCAAGAACTTTTAAATAAGTGCAACTGTCCTCTGACTTTTTATTGGTCAAAAGCATCCTGTCTTTTCACTGGGGATAAGGAATTGCTGGTTAACTAACCTATTTATTGCATTATAAATAGCCTCCCTTGAGTTCCCATTATTGTCATTAATGATTTTTCTCATTATGCTACCTTATAGAACTATAGAATCTTAAAAGTTGGAAGGAGCCCCAAGAGCCACATAGTCCAACCCTCTGTCATGCAAGAATACACAATTACAGCATTTTGTAATCATATAATTTTCATTTTCTGGAGGGAATCAGTGTTGTTGTGCAGCAGTAAAAAAAATCAGCAACCAGTGATTAAGGCTTCAATTCCAATAATAGGAATTGACATTAAGGGACAATTAGGGGAAGCTATTCAAGGAGCAATTAACTGGCTAATAAGCATTAGCTGTTCCCCAGCTATGCTGAATAAGAAGCAATAAGAAGCCTGAACTCTAATGCAGGAAGTATTTTATTGATGTTGGAAGGGATATTCGATGAACAAAGCTGATTTCTGCCTAAACATTGCAGAATGCTCTTGGTCATAGGGAAATTTATCACTGGTTAATACAATACTTCATGTAATGCCTTGTGGAACCTCTTTATACTTTCTGTTTCCAGCTAATTGTGAAAAAGTAACTTCATCACAGTTTTTAAAATATTTTTTAAACAACAACAACATCCAAGGATGCATCCAAGAATGGGAAGATATGGTCCCTCTCATGAGTTGCCATTTACTCAGTTGTTAAAGATATGAGATCGGACAGTATTCTAACTAGTATAAACCATGATTGCATCTCAGATGTGCAACCTTAGTATCTTTAAACAGTTATGTATAAAAAAACAAGGCTAGAAAACCATCAGACCAGAGTCGAAATATCGA